AGCTCCAGGTCCTAGGACCTACCCTGGGAGCACAGAGGGAGGAAATGTTACCGGATTCCACCCGTAGCCAGGACTTAATGCGGTCCCTTTCCGCATGATGCTCCCGTCAGCGGACTCCAAGGGCATTTAATGACGTGTTAGTGCCACCTACCACCTCACCCCGTCTTGTAAGAGCATCGCCAGTTGGTTCGGGGCTGCTTCTTCAACATATTCACAGCTAACCTTCATTACAGTGGCGGTTCCCTATCCGCCACCTGGGACCCGCCGGGGAGGAGATGGTCGCCCCAGTCCGGTTAATAGTAAGAGTTTTACGGCACTTGCAACACAATAAGGTCATATAAGTGCCGAAGATTAGAGGTGTTACAAAATAGGAACAAACAAACAGAAACCCAAAAATAAAAGGTTTGTTTTTTAGTAGAGGTTTTACAGCACTCGCAACTGCATAAGGTCATATAGGCGCCAGAAGCTTAGAGGTGTTACAAGAGAGTAACAAACATAAAAAAGAAGAAGGGGATAAGGACGATAGATGTTTCATAGGAAAGAAGAAGCAAACCACACCAGAGCACCCGCCGACCACCAACAAAAAAAAGGGGAGATAGGAACGATCTATAGATGTTTAATAGGAAAGAAGGACAAGGAGCAAGCCACACTAGAGCACCCACCAACCATCCACCCACCCAGACACTCTAAATTCAAACACTAATAGATAGGAATAGTAATAGTTCCGTGTTAGAACTTAAAAGCTTGTTATTCTAAGGTCGTGATTTATCTCGAGGTGATACGAGTAGTTTTGTTGGCTCTACTCTCACTCTCAACACCGACAAGGAGTCTCGCAGGACGAAAGAAAGCAGGCTGATCAGAGTTGGGCACCTTCCTGAAGGGCTGAACAGCCATTTAGTATAAACATACAAAGAAAAAAAAAAAAACCCCCCCCCCCCCCCCAACCCTTTCCGCTTTTTTCTCATGCTGTCTGTCTGTCTGTCACCCCCCCCCCCCCTTGTAAATTCTCTCTCTCTCTCTCTCTCTCTCTCTCTCTCTCTCTCTCTCTCTCTCTCTCTCTCTCTCTCTCTCTCTCTCTCACCCACACACAGGTACTTGACTGAATGGTGCATTGCATTTTTCTTGTTAGTATTATTTTTTAATTTCCCTAGTGATAGTGATAGTCTCTCTGTCTCTGGTTGTGTGTGTGTGTGTGTGTGTGTTTGTGTGTGTGTGTTTGTGTGTGTTGGTGTGTGTGTGGGTGTGTGTATGTGTGTGTGTGTGTGCGCGCGTGTGTGTGTGTATGTACAAGTACAAGTGTGTGAGTGTGTGTGCGTGTGTCTCTGTGGGTGTGTAGATGCGGGGTATATGTGTGTGTATGTGTATGTGTGTGTGCGAGTGTGTGTGTGAGAGTGTGTGTGTGTGTGCACGCGCGCGCATTTGATGAGGAAGCGTTTTTGCGTGAAACGTCAGAAGCTAACTCTTTGAGCTGAGTATTTTGTAGTAGAATGTACGTATCACAGTATAGTAGATTTTAGTTTAATTATCGCATCCTTTTTGTGCTTTGCTCAAATGATCCGGTCTCTTCCAGCTTTAACAAATTCTCTCTCTCTCTCTCTCTCTCTCTCTCTCTCTCTCTCTCTCTCTCTCTCTCACCCACACACAGGTACTTGACTGAATGGTGCATTGCATTTTTCTTGTTACTATTATTTTTTTAATTTCCACAGTGATAGTGATAGTCTCTCTCTCTCTGGTTGTGTGTGTGTGTGTGTGTGTGTGTGTGTGTGTGTGTTTGTGTGTGTGTGTGTGTTTGTGTTTGTGTGTATTGGTGGGTGTGTGGGTGTGTGTATGTGTGTGTGTGTGTGTGTGTGTGTGCGTGTGTGTGTGTGTGTGTATGTACAGATACAAGTGTGTGAGTGTGTGTGCGTGTGTGTCTGTGGGTGTGTAGATGCGGGGTATATGTGTGTGTGTGTGTATGTGTATGTGTGTGTGTGTGTGCGAGTGTGTGTGTGTGTGTGTGTGAGAGAGAGAGAGTGTGTGTGTGTGCGCGCGCACATTTGACGAGGAAGTGTTTTATAGTAGAATGTAGATCACAGTATAGTAGATCTAATTTAATTATCGCATCTTTTTGGTGCTTTGCTCAAGTGATCCGGCCTCTTCCTCCAGCTTTAACAAATTCAAGGCGTGCAATTTGTTGGCTTGAAGACGCGTTATTTTGTGGCACTTTTAAAAAGAAGCATGTTTTCGTTCGTCATAAAGACGTTTCGATTCTGTTTACTAATTACTTTACCGTATCTCAAAGTCAAAGTCAAAAAGATTTATAAGCAACATCATATAATATGCAAATTCGTGTTTTTGATTCGAGTCTGGTGGTACAAAATGTACATTACCTTTGGTCTACTGTTGGTCGTACGTAGTGTCCACTGCATCCTAGATGAATTAATAGCTTGTTATTCGTTTGGTAGTAGCGTTAAGGGTTCGGGGTTTAGAATTAGAGCCTCAGGCCCGACATTGTTGTGTCATTGGGAAAGGCACTTTACAAATTACACGAATTTCTCACTTCACCCATGTGAGAAAGGGTTCCCGGTCATAGACAACAAAAAGATCTTGTAAATATGTTAGTGTTTCAGTTTCAGAGCCCGAAAATGTCAGCTTACTCTGTATGCTTCCTGGGAAATTGAGATTGTTTCAAAACGCTATCAGGTCTCATGGGGTAATAATATAGATCTAGATTGTAAAGAGCAAAGAGCGTGCTGCTGAGCGGGAATATGCGCCATTCAAATGCTATCTAATATTATTCGTGTTGAGAAACCGAAATTTTTCTCCAGTGTCGTTCAAGGTCGGCTCAAGTCTTTTAGTTTTTAAATAGAGGTTTTACTGCGCTCGCGACTACGTAAGGTCATATGAACGCAAAGGGGTGAATGTCAACAGAGAAGTGCTTACAGTTACAGGGAATCAGACTTACTCTGCTCAACTCTCTAGCTTCAACAGCACAAAGTCGGCTTCGACTATCAAGGCACCAAGGGTGAGACAAACATATAACAGAAGTAGAGGGAAAATGACGATAGATCTAGTAAAGATTAGGAAAGAAAAAGCAGCAGTTCCCTGTTGCAGTTCAGGCATAGTTATGAGCATGACATTGAGGAATCAGTCCATTTACAATTACAATTCTACTGCGCATAAGAACTCGAGATGTTAAGGTCTCCCCTTTGGGAATGGCATAAAGACACGGCTCAAGTCGGACAACAGACACGGTTGCCGAAGGTTATGTTAAGTTATGTAGATGAGCATGATCCGCCAGGAGAACAATAATGTGCAGTATATGTACGTGTATAGTTCTGGCTAGAGATACGAGTGCCCCGGGGCATTTTATTAGGGTCAGAAGTGTGGAGACAAGCCAGTCTGGGAATGTCTGCAACAAAGATCCCAAGGCTCAGGTGGAGCAACTTCAATGGGCATCTTTGAGGCTGAACTCCGAAAAATGTGAGTGAAATTGCATAGGTTTGACGCAGGAACTTCGGATTTAACATGTATCATCTCCAATAGGACAGAGCCAAATGGGAAAATTCATGTAAAGTGTCTTTCCCGAGAACACAACGTCGGACTGAGCTGAGCTTCTCACTCCAGTTTATTAAAGAAAGTCACAAAGGAAACAATATATTTATCGAGAAAGGCCAGCCTCATACGCTACTTAGCAGGTCAGCCTGTTTTTTTTAACTTTAGTTTTAGTAAGGTTTTACGGTGCTCACAACTCTCCTTTGTGAAAAATACTTGAGTAGGCCTATGTAGATTTATGCGTATAAAAATATGTATGAATGTATGTATCATGTAAATATACAGTCAAAGCTGCCTTACTCTAACGTGGGCCACACACAACACAGGTCGTCTTTGGGATCTGCCGCCACCCAGTCCGAAGGCAATCCTTGAGGCCGCCTTGGGGCCACTTAATTTTTGTCCTGAGGCCCACTGAGGAGACCTGAGCCAAGCGCACACATACGGCACAGGCCAGGACTGTGCAAAACTAGTGCATTCCGTCGTGGCGATCAACCAGGCTAAACTTTTGCTGGCAAGTCCAGCAATATGAAATTTACTTGAAAAAGAAGCAAAAAGAGGTTTTTGTCCAAAATGTGGCTTCTCCGAAGGTCTAAACACACATCAACTTCTTTCGTGAATTGATGGATTATTCTTAAGACTACCCATACCTTATTTTTGTAAAGGCACTGTTCCTATCGGCATTTGCCTCAAAGATTTTCAGGAAACTAATATATGAGTTCCTCACGGGTCTTTGCCCTCGAGTTGTCTGTTACTGTAATCTTTGCACTTAATTTTCCTAAGGCATATATACATGTTTTTTTGTATATTTCAATAAAGACCAAAACATTGTCTCTTGACCATGTTGCCATTTTTAAAAAAATAACACTCCTACTCAACACACTGTCCTCATGGAAATTTTAGGCGTGGACAAAATTTAGACACACCTTGTTCAGTCCTTCCTTCAGTCCTTGCTCAGACTGGGGATTTGTTTTGATTTTGGCCTGGGCTTTGCCTGTGCTGGGCCTGAGCTAGGCCTGTGTGAGGTTCTGTGCAGCTCAATTGAGGTCAGGCCTTGAGGACGACCTGTTTTTAGTTTAAGTAAGAGTTTTATGGCACTCGCAACACAATAAGGTCATATAAGTGCCGAAGATTAGAGGTGTTACAAGAGAGTAACAAACACAAAAAAAGAAGGAGGGGAGATACAGACGATAGATGTTTGATAGGAAAGAAGGAGCAAACCACACCAGAGCACCTGCCAACCACCCACTGGACGACCAGTGTTGTGAGTGGACCGTTTTACTACTTGCATAAAAAGTGTGGCTCAATAAGCAACTAAGAAAGAGCAAACTGAAAGAATAAATGCACAAAAGAGGAAGATCACAGCAGAACACTCAACAACAGCTCTGAAAAAAAAAAAAAAAAAAAAAAGAGACATCACATAAGTTGACGTATCCATGACAGACAAGGAAAAAAAAGTAAACCAGGGATGAAAAGTACTTTGTTTTTATTCCATTTTTGACTCAGGTCAAATCCAAAGAACAAACATCAGTGCAATCTGTGACATCACAATGAAAAACCTGTACAAACCAACCACAAAACACAACGCTCATACTTTGACAGAGAAAACATGCGTACCAGAACAAAAGTTTTCAAACTGCAGCTCACCTTCAAGCTTCAAGAAAGAATCGACTTTATAGACAGACCAAGTTATCCAGCAGCAGAAGCTTCTGAAGGAGATTAGACATTGTCTGTATAGACCTAGCACTAGTAGCACAACTACGTGTCTGTCCTTAGTCAAGACTTTACAGTAACCAATCTATGTCACATGGAAGCAAAAGGATAAGTCTCACAGAAAAAGAACTCTAATTTTCATTTCAACCTCATCCACTTTTATTCTGTAAAATGTTCATATTTCTAATCTCACAACTTTCATTTCCCATATATGGCAAAAGGTGATTCAAACCATAATCAGAAGTAATTTCATGAGACTTAGTAGTACAATATAAGACCCCCTCTCAACCCCAGCCCAGACCCAACTAATAAGGAGAGATAATTGTTATGTTGCTCTATCTTGAGCCAGCTATTCTGGTGTTGCTCTCTTCGAAGGCCTTCTCATCGTCCTTGATGCTCTTGTCTACATCCACCCAGTACCAGCCGCGGTAGTCCAGCCGGTCAGACATCAGGCTCTTCACTTTCTTGTCCAGCAGACTGTGGACACAGACAGTCAATGAGTCCTTATAATTCATATCTCACTCCCTGCCTGGCATTTCTCAGCTGGGTAACTGAGGAATGCCAGGCTATCGGAACCATTTTCAAACCGTCACCGTGAGCTTATTATTATGTGTACAGAAGTGAAATTTTCCACAAACAATGACACTGGGGGCTCTCATGGCCAAGAAGTTAAGGTGTTCGCCTCTCATTCAAAGGTCCCGGGTTCGATTCTGGGTAGCGATTTTCTTCTCTAAAATTGTCTCCTTTCACCTCCTTTCCAGCTCTCTAGCAATGTACTGTCGTCTGTTTTAGTCTTCACTGTCTACTCCCACCCCCCTCACCTCCCTTTTCCCTTCCTCTGGGCCCCTGATTCTTTCTGCAGCCTTTCTACTGCTTCTCCTTGGCTCCTTCTTACCGCAGTCTTTCAGCCACAACCCTGATCTTCTGGTAGGAAAGATTTACACCTAGCCTTCTCTGACCAGAAAGTGTCAGATCACTATCGCCACCATTGGTCTGAGCATAGAGAACCTGGTTCTAGAGCTAGATCACAATTTCCATCTTCACTTGTGTCCGCACCTCTCCTATTTCCATTCCTATACTCATCGTCAACTCTGTATGATGGGTCACCATCTCCATCATCATCTTCATCTGCAGAAAGATCTAAATCTGACCCTTCATTGACGAATGGGTCCATCAATTCAAATGTTCTGACCTCGTTAAGACGCTATCACCATTGTAACTGAGCGTTAGTAGTTTCTAGTTAATTTTGGGGGGTCCGATAAAGTCTGATTTTTATATAACATAATCTAGGGAAGTTACTGCAACAATGCGGAATCGAAACCAAACTGGCTTATCTCGCATACTTCCGACTGCCAAAGCCCGAAACACGTCGGGAAATGTTTGAAAAATAGTAGGAAAGATGTACCCGACGGGGTTCAGGTTTGGCAGGTGGCAGCCTACAGGGTTCACCAGACAGGGTTCGGGCATGGCAGTGAGTTAAGAATGAGTCTTTCATATATGGTTTAAGAAACGAGAAGTTCATCCACATTGTAACATTCATTTAGTGTAGGGAAAAAGAAATAAGCACAGTGTGTTTGAATTTGAGTAATGAGAAGCACATTGAAGCGATGGTAGTCATTAACCATATTCACCCTGCGTTGCCGCGGGCAGTGCACTTGTGTCCACCTGGTTTGCCACGAGCTGGAGGACAAAATCAGTCTGAACTTGACACACTAACCTTAGACACACATTGTGCCCAAACTATTTAAGCTGGCAATATGAAATTTCACTTAGATTTTACTTTAAATGTTCTTTTAATATTATTAGAGAGAAAGAGGAAGGAAAGAGCAGAAAAAACAATAAATTCTTTGTCCGACTGCGACTCATCGGCACTCGATTTACCCCATATCAACTTATAGTAGATCTATGGTCTAGACCTAGCTTTTCTTCGAAGTTTTAAAGGCACTAAAATTAATCCGATCGCCTTGTTTTTCTAGATTTATGTCTACTTTCACTTTCTTTGCGGCTTAAGCCTAAAGAAAAAACTAAAAACATGGTTTACGTATTTTAACAAACACATAAACTGCCGGGGCACTGTTGTTTTTTGTGGTTGTTTTTCTTTTTCTCCTCGTCCATGAAGATTTCAGTGCTTGCTGTCTTGCCATGATTTGTGTGACAAAACAACAAAACTAACTCATATACTTGGTGAAAAACTGGATCAAAACAAGCTAGCAAAAGTTTTTACAAGCGACAAGCGACCTATTATTTTCAATAGAAACCTGGATAAGTGGTTCTGACTCCATTTTGAGGACTGGTATTTCCATATGACGTATATAGTCGTAGCTCGGTGGAAAGAAGTGCACGGCAGCTACGAGTATACTGCAGGGGAAAAGTAAGATAATGGGGCTACAGACAGAAACAAGCCCAGAGGAAAAGAAAAGAAGTACAGCATGCAAGTGGCAACCCCTGCAACCATCTGCATAGATTAAACTACAGACAATGCAAAAATTTCACTTATTTTTTTCTGAACTAAACAATGGACCTAAGACAAAGTTAAGATAAAATCACCCTTTAGCAAAAAAAGTTGACCCCCCCCCCCTCCCCCCGAAGAAAAAAACAAAAGGAACCCCATATAGTGGCATACTCACTTCCAATATCTCTCCTCTCTCTTTTCATGCAAGAAATGAAGGGTGCGCTCGTATTCCTTCTGTGGAGTCTCATACACGTACTTGGCAAACCATCGCTTGATCGGGCCCTGGCAAAATATGACTTGCATCTTAAAAACTATGCTTCAAATGAAGTTTGCAGACTTGCTTGACTTCACAAAAATAGCCTTGGTAGCGCGGCCTTGAGTAAAACGCTCAAGAAAACATATATAGTATATAGTGGCGTCCAAAAGAAACTTGAAAATGTAATCACCCAATCATCGTGTTATAAGCTTCCACAACCCGCTCATGCACCATACCAATTTAAAGCTGAATAAATTCTTCATCATCAGACACATTAACATTTCATCTGTGCTAAGAGACGACCGGGATATGGTCACTCAAAATTGACCTTAAAAAATCAGGCTTGGCAAAATTGTGCAAAATCAGAGAAAAACAAAACTGTGTTCGCTCGTATATTGAAGTGCATCAACATTGGAGGAAAGGACATATGTTGAATATCAAATGAAAAGAGAATATTATTGTCCATGCAATGAACAGCATCTTCTGATGATATTTTTGAACTGATTGGAGAACAGGGCAGTTACAAATACCACACAAAACCTGGACTTAACATAACATCTGCTCAATAGTATTAATTTTGTTTTTGTTTAGGAGCTAATGGTTTCGTGTCTAGCACGAAACCTTTTTTGCACGTGGACTGTGTCAGTTAGATTTTTGGACAAAATCATCAGTCAGTGAGAAACAGAGGCCACGAAACTGCCATGGTTCTGAGTGGTCTGGGGGTGGAATGAACAGAACCGCCCTTGTGAGAATCACCGGATGGCTTGGTTAAATGGACGACAGGCAAGTGCTGGAACGTCATGTTCTACTTACTTTAGTCAAGGTGTCATTCAAGTTGACATCTTCGTGCATAGCAAATAACTTTCCCACTAGGCCAATATCACTAGAAAATTCTTGGAAAACCAAATCAAATCAACGTTGGAGTGGTCACCAGTAAATAGCCCCGGTGTAAATTCTACAGGTATGAGAAGAGTGAAGTACCATGAAACAGCAGCTGAAGAAATGGGACTTTGCTCTCAGCTCAGACCCTTTGCTTGCAACTCTCTGTGACATTTGGGATGAAATGACAGATAATTATGTAAAAAATCTTTAAGATTCCATGCCCAAAGAGTTTGTGCGCTACACAAAACTAACGGCCCCGAAGCAAAATAATAATGACGAGCACATTTAATGTTAAATCCAAGTTTTGCATGGTATTTGTGATTGCTCTGTTTTCCCTTTTATTTGAAACTGTCGTGACAAAACATCAAAATAAAATATTGTTTATTGCAATACAAAATTCTCCATTCATTGGATATGTAATGTATGTCAATTCTATCAATATTGATGCTCCTCTATACACGTGCGAAGACAATTTTACGTTTCTTTGATTTCACACAATTTTGCCAAGCCTGATTTTTTAAGGTCAATTTTGAATGACCATATCTCGGGCGTCTCCTTACATAGATGAATTATTAAAATCTCAGATAATTCTATCTTTGTTGTTTTCTTTGCTCTGGACAGTCATATGGCGGTCATTCCGAACCACCCCCCTCTCTCCCCCCCCTCACAACCACAGCAGAACATTTATGTTTTTGTCATCAAACAACTCTGAAATGCGGACTAAAAAACCTAGGGGTCATTGACACTGCTTGAAGCTAGCCACTACTATGGGGTCAGTCAGATACTGTACCTGGTAGTACTCCCATTCTTTGGGTTCATAGCCCTCAGGGATGTCGGCCAATTGTGCTGGGCCTGAAAACACAAATCCAAAAAGGCAATGACAAACTCAAAATGAGAAATTCATCTTGGCTATGGACCATAAAAGTGAAGACTTCTGGTAAATTTGCTAATTTTTCCTCTTCAAACACTCTTGTGAATTGCCTTACAAATGATATAAATTCCACACATAACCACAACTTTACATACCATATTATACTATTTTAAAACATTGATTATTACTTTGTTTACACTGAATAAGCACAGTATATCAACATGACATGCGCAAGCAAGAAAACAGACAAAAAGAAAAGGAAGTCGGACAGCAATGGGTTCTAGTTTTTGACAAGAAAGACAAAACCCCTGAACCCATTCAGCAACCTGTTTTGTGTTCAGGAGGGTCAAACGCTACACAGAAGTAGAAGAATTAATATCCCTGGAAAGAGAACAATTATAAATGACAGACTGAAACACTCACCGATGAAGATGTTGGCGTAGGTAATGAAAGCAACCATGGGCGCCAGACCCAGCATAAGGTAGAAATGCTGAAACAAAGAGACAGGGAAACTGTTGACAACAAATAAGAGTTTTTATTATACATCAACATTTACTACAAGACTAGCTAAACAAGTACACTTGTCAATTCCCAGGTCTTTAGTTCGATCCCCGCCCGTATTGGTTAGGTTTTTTAAAAACATTTTCTACATCCTCTTATCCTAGTAGTATAATAGTAAAATTGATCGCCTCAACTCCTCAGATAAAAAAAAATATCAGACATTCCGTGTGCTAGTATTACATGATGAAAAAGATTTTATAGTTACCACTACCTGAGTTTTAGTAGGGGTACAAGAAGGAGAAGAAGAAAACTAGTACCGATACCACTGACAGAAATAGGGATTTAAATGATAACCGAATGGGTTGGATACAGTTAATTCTTAATACAAATAATTAATCAAATAAAACTCAGACATGTCCTAAAAATGTCAGAATCAACATGAGAGCCATGGAAACTAAGAATGTTAGTGAGCACAAACCTTTTCAACTAAAAAAAACAACTTTGAGAATAAACTGTCTAAATCATCACACACCCAAACCAAAATTCTGAACCCGTTTAGCAGATAGGTCATCAACAGATCATCTGAACAACAATACCCACCCAAACCCCTGCAAGCTCAAATTCCCTCCTGTACGTACTTACTAAAATATAAGTAATCAAGTAAAAAGTAAAGATAATCCCCAATCCGATCCGGACATTGGGGATTTCCTTCTTAGTGAGACAACTTCCTGAGCCTTCGGCATACTGTGGTAGGGTGGCCAGTTATCAAGCTGTACCGTAAATTAAATATGTTTGTAATATATATAATAATTCAAAATTTTATAAGACAGGGCCCCAAATGAAACAACAGATCATCTGAACAACAATACCCACCCAAACCCCTGCAAGCTCAAATTCCCTCCTAACCTGCTCCATTATCTGTGACAATGGTACCACAAACCAATCCTATGAACACCCGACTTTATCAGTTGAAAAACGTAAACAGAAATTAATATATATACCAGATCATTCTTGAATCTTGTCCACTCAAACCTAGTTGGCTGGATGAGCATTTTCTTCTCATGCCCTCCATTACGCACAGAAA